CAGCAGCAGCAGCAGCAGCAGCAACAATAACAATAGCATCAACGACAACGACGACGACGACAACGACGACTATCACAACAACAACAACAACGACGTCCGAATCTTACCACAGTTGACCTCATCCATTGACGTCTCAGGGCAGTCAAAATGGAAGTTACAGACCTGTGTGTACGGCAATTTTGTGTTGGCGTCGTCTTGGCAAAAGAAGATTTTCGAGTCTTCATCGACTGATCAAAGAAAGAAAGAATAAAGTCATGTTTTAGTCCTCGAGCAAGGTACAAGTTATTCATTTTTGTCCTCTTTTTATTAAAAATAAATGTGCACTCTCTCCTTGTCATCTCTCTGATTCGGTCTCTCATTCATTTGACCCATCTTGTCGTTCCTTTTTTCGACTCTCAACCTGTTTGTCTGTTTTCCTGTGCCTGTACGCCTGTATATCTATCTGTATGTCTGTCTACTCATGTGTGCCAGTGTACATGCGTGCAGTAATCCGTGCAAGCATGAACACGTTCGTTACGCGAGTATCTATCTATCTATCTATCTATCTATCTATCTATCTATCTATCTATCTATCTATCTATCTATCTATCTATCTATCTATCTATCTATCTTTGCCAACATTCATAGGTCTATAGCTTCTTACCTTTCTCTCTGTAAGATTACGGCTGATATTACGAAAAGACATGGAGATAATATATTATTACAGATGGACAGATAGACAGAGAGAAGGGGGAAGGGAGAGGGAGAGAGAGAGAGAGAGAGAGAGAGAGAGAGAGAGAGAGAGAGAGAGAGAGAGAGAGACCGTGAGAGACAGAGAGAGAGCGAGAAAGAGGGGAGGGGTGTAGAGAAAGATGTAAAGAGAGAGGGAAAAGATAAAGAGAACAGGTATACATACATACATACATACAGACAAACAGACGGGTATGACAAGAAAAAGACAAGAGCAAAATGAGATTTTGATTTTTGATTGAGTAGGTGTTTTACGGCACCATCGATTCAGCAAAAAGAGAGGGGGGGGAGACGTGAGAGAAAGAGTACTCCTGATAAGAAGACGGCACAGACAGACAGACAGACAGACAGACAGACAGACAGACAGACAGACAGACAGACAGACGGACAGACAGACAGACAGAGAAGGGGGCGGGGTAGAGAGAGAGAGGGGAGGACGTCGATTTCTGAAGAGAACACATAATGTATTTACTTACTATCTTCACAGGGTTGAAAGTTCAGAGAGAGATCATCCAAGAGAACTGTTACGTTGCTCCCGTCTCCGCGTGATAAAATCACAGCAACCTGGGTGAAGAGATCTGACAGCTGTACCGATTGCATTGTGCCAATGGAATTCATTTGACTGAGTCGCGGCAAGCTAGATTAGTTTTAGTAAGTGTTTTAGGGGGACTTGCAGCACAATAAGGTCACATAAGTGCCGAAGATTAGAGGTGTTACAAAAGAGTAACAAACACAAAAAGAAGGAGCAATTAGGACGATAGATGTTTAATAGGAAAGAAGGAACAAACCGCACCAGAGCACCCGCCTAAAAACCCACGCATGCTAGATTGTTCTCCAGGGAGGGGCAAAAGCAAACACTTGGCACTATTTGACGGAATTCAATTAGTTTCGATTGCAACAAAATCAAATCGCTTTTTTC